GTTGCATGGAAATAATGTTAATGACGATAGCGGGCAAACGATTTACTACTGACATGACGCCGTGTTTATAGCAATATTTAAACATCGCTAAATCATTTTGTAATGTTAAAATGTATTTAACCACAAAAATAAACGCTTACATGTAACGAATATTTAACATATTTTCAACGACGAAACCCGCGAATAGGTGAGGTCGACTGTACATTACAAGGAGAGAAAACATTTTCAGGAAAACAAGAACATATGTTTCCTTGCGCAGTCCAGCTGTCGCGACTGGATTACGATCTCTCAGGGCGAATGCAGGAGAAGTTGTCTATGATAAATCGGTAGTTCGTAACATCAGCAAAAGTGTCGAACGCAAAAAATAAACATTCTGTTTGCCTCTCTTCTCAAGGTCAGACACGGCACTTAGAAAAGCAGACAAGAGGCATGCGAGGGAAACGCCCACGGCCGTCTCAAGTACACTTAGTGCCATGCGTAAGTTTTTTTTCAGTCTGATAGTGCATTTTAAATTTGTCTTCAGCACAATTAAAGACTAACCGATATTGCCATTTATTCCCAGAGGTCGCCACCTAGGCAACAACGTTTGCCGTCATCGGAGCCACTTCGGGGTGACATCGGTAACTGGGCAATGTTCAAAGTGATGGTCATATAAAGATGGTTAATGGGACACTGGAGAAACGATTACGGCCTTAACCATGTGCAAATAAAGTGGGCAGTCGGCAACGAAGAACTCCCAGCACCCGAAAGATACTTTCCTAACCAAAAAGTGTCAGTATGAGGAAACACGGTAGTGGCGCCCTACCCATCAAATCGTCGAAGTTAATATGCTCACCTTACTAGATTTAAGAACCCAGTCTATAAACCTAGCAGGCAGATCCATGTCGTCAGTACGGTATAACAACTTTACAATATGGAATTCACAATACTCGTATTACTACTTGTTTGTAGAATGGGCATTACGTAGCTATTCAACAGTAGTTGATTTTCCTCGACGTAAATGCTCATTGAAAGATTGGGTCTGACCATAAAAATTAATATCCCAGAGACTTAACTCCATGTCCTGCACTGACTAACTTCTAAAATTATCCATTTGATTATTCTGTGGAGGTCATATACTAGAAACGGCCTAGAGAACGCTGGGGAACCCACTGAGAGGTCGAACCCCTTGCAAATGCGTCACGCAGCGGCAGAACATGGGTGAAACACGTGTCTGGGTTTTCAATTAGTAACTATGCCGGGACTACCTTATAAAATGTTTACCATATATAGAGACATAATTTGAGGCATTCACTCCAGGTCCCGTCCTTTATTTATGAAATTTTCGACTTTATTTTTTTTCTGGACCGCTTGGGGACCCACTATGGACCAGAACGCATCCAGCTGCGTCATCCAGCGCCAAAAACATCGGCGCAACACGCGTCTGGCCCTTTTGGGCGTATGGAAAAAATCTTTGACATATGTATGAAAATTCCGTCATTTAGTGGACTCCTTTTATACATAATGGGAATTTCGTCGTTGTTACACAGAAGTTGGTTATTATAGCCAAAGGACAGAGCGGACCCTAAAATAGTCCTATTCCAGGTTTCCAACTCTAATTTCTGCCTCAAATAACTTTTAAAAGTGTCATCTTGATGTATATTTATGACCAATAATTTTAGCACCCAATTCAAGAGCTCTAAGCTACCTCTGAAAACTATCAAATATTTTCGCTTTTCTTAAATTTGGACAACCTCATCTGCCTACAAAATTTACAGTAGATTCTTCGAAAGATGAAAACGACCATAAGCAGACTGAGAGCCGTGTGGACTGGCAAGAATACATCTGTGTCTATGACAGGATGATTCGGTTTCTGAGCGCTCCTCACTCGGTTCTACGACAAAGTGTGCTGATTTTCCTCTCACAGACCGATTTTGTGTGATGTCTGAAATGTCTGAACAACTCTTTGTTCAAAATACTCTCTTCGCGAGGGCTCCTATTCATCTTTTAAGCTTGAAAAGTTTGTTTAATAAGGTAGATTATTCGCTTTTGATCTAAACGACCAAGAGACACTCACGTAATTTCATAATTTTCGCTTTGGCTGGACCCTCCTTCTATCGCTGAAAGAAATTCTGCTTAATACATGCAAAAAATTTCAAGTGAACTATTAGGCGCTTTCCGAATATCTGGCTTCATGTCGCGTTCGTCTGGGGAATAAGACTTGCACTGATAAATCTTCGCTAAAGGCAGTTTGCTTAACAGCTTTGCGTCAAAATGATTGTCACAGAGTATGCCCGCAAATTAATTAAACATGACGGCCGCCGGGATGTTAATCGAGTTTTGTTACAAACCACTCGCGTTATTCTGAAATTTTCATTGATTTTTATTGTCCCTTTTAAACTCAAGCCCACATCCTAAGGGACAATTTTCGATTTTTAACATAACATGTAACGGAAGATGAGACCCCAGGGTGGGGTGTATATCGGTTAGAGACACATCCGTAATCAGGCAACTTTTTGAGATGTATGGATGTGTATTTATGCTTCCAGAGCGCGTAACACGGTCTCTATCTACTGCAACACTCTGTAGACTCCAATGGACGCGTTTTCAGAGACCTGAGGCGACTTAGGAAATGCGTAACAGGCAGTATGGAGACCTTGAAGCTGTCAAGTAGCCAGATTACTCAGAACACCAAAATCACCAGGCAACGTTTCAGTTGGAATGGGGAGACGAACAATACTACAATAAGGAACTTGTGCACATAACCCAGAGTCACTCTCTGAGGCAACAGTGGCCTCTGGAGGGTACTCGGGCGTGCGTCGACGGTGTGAAGTCATGTCTGAGAGAGAGAGAAATCAGGACTGTGGCCTTATCTGGTTGCATATAAGCGTCAGAACTAAGTCGAGATGGTCTTGTGATACTTGTTGCCCCACTGTGGTGCTGTGCTCCAATGGGACAGCATTGAACTTGACTGTCTGGACGTTGGCACGTCCAAAGTGAAGGAGGTTGCTGGATTGCAGGTCAGGGCGTCTGAGGAAAATCGAATCTGCTTTGCGGCAGGAGGAGATTGGAATCATTGGAGCCCCTAAGCAAACAAGATGAACGGATCAATGACGACGGTCGGTTATATATATACCTGGTCGGCAATTAAGAAAAAATTGTTTCTTTCTTTCGGGTAGAACGTAACGGTAAATATCTGTTATTTAAAAAAGAGGGTAAAAGCGGAGTGTTTGTGCATCTCTCCCAAGCAAGCATGGACAACCAAGCAAAAGAACACATATTAATTATGTAGGCAACCAGAATGATGCCTGTCCAAAAGCAGGGCGCTACCGTGCAACCATTTTTGTAATGAAATTTTGCGCTTATAATCATCATGATCTCATATAAGCACTACTTCTTGCTTAGAAGCACGGACGAAAACTCGCATCTACACCCTTTGAGTTTATACGCTAGCTCACGTCAAGTCATAGTTAGCTGGATTTTTGCATCGGTGTTTTCCACAACAACTGTCTCTAACTGCCATAACATTCAGCCAATTTTCCAAACTGGTAAGGTAATATCATGCTAGAGATCTGTTAGTTGCGGGGGATGTAAAAAGATTTAAAAATGATTACGTCTGACTTATAAGCCGACACCAGGTTGCAATGAGTCAACCGCAAGTGACGTCGCATTCGGGGTTTAAGGTTGAATCACAGTATCGGAAGTCCATTCATAGATAGTATACATGGGTTGTGTGATATAACATGCTTGGATATACAAGGCACGTGTTTCGTCGATATTCGGCTGTTCCAGCTGCGAGAGCTTTGACCCATCAGGGAGTCTCCAGCCATTCTCCGTGTGCTTTCTGGCAGATTTTCAAGTCCTGTGATCCCAACTTTTTAACTTCCTTGGAAACTATTCGCATATTTGGAGTAACTCAGTTCATTTGAGACTTAAAAACTCCTGCTGAAATTTTATAAAAATATTGGAGTCGAAGTCCATCAGATACAGCGTACTAATCAAGTACTATTCATAGTCAGTCAGTATACCATACCTGACAGGACGTAGAGAACGCTGGGGGACCCACTGAAGAGCCGAACATTTGCAGCTGTGCCACGCAGCGGCAGAATATTATTGAAACGCGTGTCTGGACTAGCACCTGTGAGGTCAAGTATGTTAGATAGCGAACCTATGTATATACTACTGGCCGCCTGCTGGCAGCTTATGAATAATGCTCAGTCATTCCGCAGTGACTGGTGAACGTCGTTGCAAATATTTATATCAGCTTTACGTCCGAGTCTGTAAGTCTCCAACAGACTGACTTACTCCAAGTTAACGATTAATTTCCGGACGAAACAATACATTAATTTTCACAATTTTCTTCCCCTAAATATTAAACACAATTTTGTCCAGCTACTGGCAGCTAGACTGCGACGTATCTGCTCTGCTGAGACTGTGGAGACAGAACTCCATCAGCTGCGGGATATACTCCACCAAAACGGATACCAAGAAAGATTTATTCCGCGAAATATAGGTGAGCGCACTGCAAAGCCCACCATGGCAACTGCAGAACAAAAAAGACTTATTTATAAGACTGCCTTTTCAAGGGAACGCTGTAAATGACCTAGTAAGAAGACGTTTGAAGACAGCCGTCACTAGCGCTTTCCTCGAGGCGAACTTATGTGTATGTTTCATGAGCTCTCTCCTCCTACGCTTGGGAGGTAAAGACCGACTCCCGTTGCAGGCCACATCGATGTGCATTTGCTCATTCACTTGTCCTGTGGAGCGGGCTACAGTGGCCGTACAACGAGGCGCCTGGAAAAGAGACTACGTGAACACATACCGGCCTGGTTAGGCCGAGGTGAAGAGAACTCGATCTCAAGTTCTATTTGCGCACATTTTGTCGATACGAATCACCGAGTCGATGCCCAAGAAGCCTTTCAGGTTGCCTACCGGACACCAGCAAGCTTCTCCAGAGGCCTAGGCCACCGGGTGCTAGCTACAGCCGAGGAAGTGGCTATACGGCTAGCCAATCCAGTGCTATGCTGTCAGAAGACTCTGACGCAGGCGCTCTGTCTTCCGTGGCCAACGCCGACCCCAACCTCCTGATGGCAGTGGTGTGTACACAACGTACCCGACGTACAAACATTACTCACAGCCTATGTCCCTCCTCTCCCTCGCCCCCTTGACCCAATGACCACTACACGCCGACAACGCCATAGCACGCCTCGTCATGCGAGTGACGTGGGAACGATAATGTGTGAATAGCCCCCTGAATCACTTATAAGCCCTGTTACTTCGCATAATTTCAACTTCTGTGTAATCGTCTTTGCCTGATGAAGAGTTACCAAAAACATGTGTTTGCCAAATTGACTTTTCAATTGTAACATGGGAATATTCGCCGAACTTATTAAATTTCAGTCGAATTCTTTTTCAGTTACTTCCCAATACGGGTACTAGTGTACGCGTATTTTTCTTTTACTGTGCCATTGGTTGAGTTTAGATACAGTTATCAATTTCAAGCCAATAATAATGAGTTCTCCTTCGAGTTTACCACCACCGCAAATTATTTCTCGAAAGATGTTTACCGCTAGAGATCCTAGGGTTGTAATAAAAGTAGTCTAAACTTCTACAAATTCTGTAAAAATGACCAAAAAAAGTCATATTCAAAGCCCGTTTTGGCCCTCTGTTTACCCACGCCTTCGCATCGAATAATGAGTCCTATTAAACATGCAAAAGTGTCGGTTGCTTAGTCTGTCTCGATATAGCTTCCTTTCGTTCAGTAAGGGTAGGGTATATAAACTCTCTGTGTGGCTTGTGTGTTTCCTAACGGTTTGCCGGGTAGTAGGTCGCGAAAAAGGTTCTTCAGGAAGCTGATTTTGAACTCCAATAGCCTAATCGATATTAAAGTTGCCCATTTTGGGTCCAGGCTTAGGCTTAAAAGAACAATTACATTTAATTCTATTTGGGTTCCTAATCGGAATTGCGTTTCCAGGCTTGGGCTGTGGCTGCAATACCAGGTGGAGGCTAGGGTTCGGGTTTTAAGGCTTGGCTTATGGCTACTGTTACGTTCGACTTTTCCTTAACTGCCTACAGGTTAGAGCTTTACCACTGAAGGCATGAACGTGATGCAAAATTCCTGATCACGGAAGCACCATCTGGAATGCTAATTAGATAAGCCGAAACAAAATAATTCCATCAAACTTGCAAGAGACGTTGTCGGATTGTGGTGCGCGACAAGGTCGCTGCGATACGCGTTGGATTTCGATCCAGAGACCGTGAAGGCAGCCATGAAGCGACCAGTCACGATGCAAGAATGAGCACTGGCAGAGTCGAGGTCTCGTTTGCCATATACGCGAAACCCGATCCTCTAGTTATTAAGCGTTAAGTAGTTCGGCACTCCACGATGGGGTCACGAGTCCGCTGTCGCGTTGGCTTCGATCGGAAGTATTGACTATCGTAGGAAAGGACTTTCAGCAGTCAGGTTAGGAGACGTGCACTGTGCCAGAAAACTGCCCTTTCGGCACCAGTAATGATACCACTCATGAAATTCATCGTTCATCTGCATTGCCATTATTTGCACAAATTTCATAGCTTTTGCAAAATAACTTACTTGACCCAAATTTGATTAAACTCGCGTCGCGTGGCGGGGCCTCGTAGCTTAAGTGGTTAGGGCGTTGGCTGTACTAAAGCCTTCCCCTTACTGCGTGGGTCCGAATCCCACCGAGGCGTCGAGTTTTTCACAGTTGAGCCAATATGAATTTAATTGCTCTTCACACAGGCAGCCTCTAAGGGTGGATTGATTGGAAGCGAACGAGGCTGCCAGATATCAAGCTACGGCATGATTGACTATTCTGCTGGATTTGAAAGGCGATTCTCCGTACGGTCAGGACTAATCGCCAACAAAGGACTTTATTGGCCAATCCGAATTTTGTTTACTGACGTAGCATCCTGCACCGCTACGCCCGTATGGCCTCTCACGGGACTTTCGTTTGATAATCGTCACAGTTTTTTTATGGAGAACGAAATTTCGAGGAAAACCTCTCTCCTTTATTTCTTTCTGCATTTTACGCAGAATATCGGAAGGGGGACGCAGCCGTCGGATAAAAGCCGTTGTCTGTATCAAGCTTACTGAAATAACATGCTGGGTTTTCGGCACATGTTGAGAAGACGATATGTTTAACGTTACAAATTAGTGCTTTCCTTATGCTACCAAAATTTAAGGTGTCCTTAAGGTTGGGTAAGTCATCAGTGTCATGGTATCTAGAAACAATCTCCTTTTACAGTTCAGTTTCATCTAAAACAGGATCTTTACGCTGAATATATTACCTGCATGATTCCGTCAGAGGAAACCGAATGCACGGACTTCCGTATGTCAATGACGTTTCGGAAACCGTCGGCCGTGGAATCGAAAGAACCACTGTCATGGCAAAGAAAGTCTGAAGTCGTTTATCGTATGTATTGCAGTTGCGGACAAAGCAACCACGTCGATAAAACGGGAGGAATGCTCCGAACACGGGTGGCCGAACATGCGGCAACAGTGAGGAGAAATGACGCCAATTCTCAAGTTGCAGTCCATTAAACGAGAAGGGGCCACGCATTCAAATTCAACGAGGCCGAAATTCTCACTAGAGGCGACAACCGCGTGAACCGTGAGCTGTTTAAGTCATGGTTCCAGTCTTTTAACAGGCGCAACGACCTTCCCATTCCGTACTTGGTGCTGAGACTTCGCCTAGGCGGAGTAATTAGCCACACGGGGAGCACGCAGGCGAACACTTTTCCCAACATCGGGGTCGTCGGGTCAGATGGTCGAACAATCATCACACCAACATCCAACACACGTGGTGAAATTGCAGCGATTAACGAAGCGAATGTCGGCCATCAAACAGTCATCATACCAACTGCAGCGATCATCGGTAAAGAGGGGAGAGAACCGTGACTTTTCATAGAGATGCGGTAATTTGGCGACAGCATTCTATAAATACTGCAGCCCCTTGTGCATAAACCGCCTGTATCTGCTACTGTCTTTGATGATGGTTTTGTGCAGGAATCCGAAACGTCTCTGTTCCAATGATCGTGATTCCTTTGTCTTCCACTTTCCTTGACATAGTTGGCTTGCCCACGACTGTACCAGATCCTTTAAACGACCCCAGGTGTTTGATGCCGAGGGAGTGGGTCGTTAGGCTGAAAGACTTGGCACCGCGTGATCGCCTACCGTCCGTGTGCAACCGAAAATCCAAGGACGAAGAAATGCCGGCTAAAGGCTTCCTAGATGTTTTTCACGTACGGAACAGCTCGCCAAAATTTCCGCAACTTTTATGCGACGCATTCAGAAACTGCCACTTCTTCTAGGCATGCAGAGGCATATAAATACTGCAACACCTCTGCTACTCCCTACTCCTACCTGATTCGGTTGCTGATGATGTGTTCATGTCAGTCTCCAAAGCACTAAGCCCATGAAATCCTTATTCCGACCATCGTGTCTTTTTCATCGCGAAATTTCATATGTATAGCTTTACAGACAAACTTCCGAACTAGTTCGCATGGGCGCATGCAAATCGTGTGGAAAAAAAGAACGGCCGGTTTACTCAGTGTCTGCTCTGACTGTTCAAGGGCGCATGAATGGAAAGTCCACGAAGATTCTGGTCAGCATGGATGAGAACTAACAGATGCGGGGGAGAGAGGCAAAGTAGGAGAACCCCTTGGTAACATTTGACACATAAATAATTGCCTTTCGGCGAAAGGACTGCATTTCGTTGACCCGAAGTGCAGAGGCGCGTTCCAAGTGGGTTTGCCGGTATATTTGTTCATTTGACCTCCAGTGCATTCTGTGGCATACAAGAATACCCCCTGCATACGATATTCGCCACCCAACTGTTTTGGCAACATGAGCCACGTTGTAGTACGTTTATCCCGAGAGCATTCTTTGAAATCTCCAAGAAGAAACAGGACTGAGTCATTCCAGGTTGGTGAATTCTGTTGCACCAAAATGGCCATCCGGGATACTGTGATTACATCGCAGCTCACCCTGAAAATAATATGAAATTGAGATGGGAAATTTCCCAGGACAGTATTCAGAAAACTAGTCGGCGAGCGTACTTTTGGTTTCGATACATTTTTCGTCAATACGCGCTCTTCCGTTCTCACCCCGCCTGTGTTTTAAAACGAATCTTGATCGATTTCTCTGATCACTGACATGTTCATGTATTCGATTGACGACAAAATTTATCATGTCAGTGACTAGAGAAATCGATCAATGTTTGGTTTAAAACACAGGCGGGTGAAAGCGGAAGAGCGTGGAGAGTTGCATATAATTAGATGACCCTTGGCCATGGTAAGCGCGAAGCCTGAACAAGGTTCGCCTTGCGCGAACAAAGTCAACTTTCTTAACCTGATTGCGGCCACATCTGCTGTTAACAGACGCTGGCCAGTAGCTTAGAATAGCTCAAGAGGACCTTATAAATCACAGGAAATCTTCGATGGGGCTCGTGCGATATCCGGAATCGACATGTGCGAGAATGACGTTGCTTATGCCTCTAATATCGCCTTCCGCTAGCCATACTGGAAAGTATTTACGTACCATCTTAGAAAGGTGTCAACTCGTGCGACTAAATATTTCTGCTCCAAAAGAGCAAGCGAAGGCGTAGATGCAAACTGAGGTGCTCCGAGAACTGGATGAGTAGAGAATAGCATTCGAAGCCTTGTTTTCGGGTGGGTTCGTGAGAGAGCGCGATCAAGGCGTCTTTGTAAGAGTTCACTCGCAGTGTCCCCTTCAAAATGGACTATGAGGAACAGAGTTTTCTTTTGGGCAGTCCGTGCGGTCGACTCTTCCAGTTTTTCTGCAATATTCTTTGTAAAAAACCTGTCCGAATGCCCGTTTTCATCAAAAAAAGTCCCCGATCTCTCTATGCTCCTCCTCGATGATGCCTGCAGAGCACATGTTTCTAACTCTTCACGCCAAACACCGAACCATAGGGCTATGAAACTGGCGAAGTTCATATATTGTGCAGACCAGGTTTTCTTTCGATAGACGCTCCTTTGAACGATACCGACGGGTCTCCTGTCTAGAAGAACATCTAAGAAAGGGAATGAACCAGCCTGTACTTAGCGAGGATATTTCACAATGGCATTCAAATGTGAGAACGAAATGAAAAAGAAACAAGGAAAGTAAAAACCTCGGGATAAGTAGTTTTTAATTTTCTCCTTTCGTTTCTTTTTTTGTTAACGATCCGCGGGCTGCTTTTGCCGGATCCACAGTTTTTTTAAGCCTTCAAAAAGCATGTCAACAGTTGCCCTGAATATCTGTTTCTAAGATATTGAGTGTTTATCGACGCGGGTAATGGGAGTTAGAATTGGTTGAACAACTTCGACATAACTGCTCAAATGGACTTTTGCTTATTGGCTTGACGCCAAAAATGCAGTTCCTGGTGGTCACAGGAGTAGCGTGTAGCCACTTTTAGCCGGACGGATAAGCCGAATCGTGGAAGAAGACGCTGTACCTTTTCCAGGATGCTCTGCGTCCTACTCCCTGGGTGTACTCTGCGCAAACATCTACGACGGAGACCAATAAGAGGGTTATTTATCGACTCAGCCTGACAGACAGCGGGAATAAGGCCGTTCTGCTACTCTACGTACAGTGCGTGTGCTAACTCATGAAATTTTTACCGGAATTCGGAAGCGCGGTTTCGTTTCAGGAAGAGTACTTAAGAAGGGTTGTAAAACTAATCACCATGCAGCATAATTCCATAAAAACTTACTTATCTCACGATGCCGGCTTTCGAACGAACCTCTTTCCGGCTGCATGCAAAGATCACACTCTGTAAAAATAACAGCTTAAGAAGCATGAATTTTTCTCGCTGATTTTAGTTGACCCCATAAATTTGAATATTTCTCGGGTGGAAAACATGCATAAATATATTCATTCTTCTACTCATTTGGTAGAAGATTACGACTTCCAATTTTATGCTCAAAGGAAAGGTTTTAAAAAACTTTCCAATTCGCGAATAATTCTGAACACAACTTGCCATAACACTTGCATTCAGCGTTCCCAAACTACATGCCGTATATTTTACTCGTACGGAAAACCATTTATTTTCCTACGCTATTAAGAGGAAACTACATGGGGTTCATAAAAATTAGCAGTGGATTTGAGCCATATTGCAAACTTTACAGTCAACATTACTAAATACAGAGACACGATGTTTTATGAACTGGCATTTCACGGTGTTAAAAAGCCCACAATTAGAAAGTCTTTAAAACTGAATTATACCTTTCCTTTAAGTATCAAATTGGAAACCTTATTTTCTACTGAATGGGTAGAAGTATGAATATGTGTATGCATGTTTCCATTGAATATATATGAATTTATAAGGACATCGAAAACCAATGAGAAAAATTTTTGCCACTTATGCAGTTATTTTTCATGAAGTTCGGCTATCGCAGGGTGCCGTAAAGAAGTGCATTCGAAAGCCGGCATCCTGTGGTAACTGAATTATTGTGGAATTATGCTGCATGATGATTAATTTTACAACAATACTTAAGTAATCTTTCCGAAACGAAAGCGCATTGCAGAATTTCAAATAACATTTCATGAGCTAACACACCTACTGTATGTGCGGTCGAGAGCCGTTGTACGCGGCGAGCAACACAAGGGTGACTTGAATGACCATATACGATTTATTGGCTCGTATCAACTAGCCATGCCTTATCAGGCAAGCACGAGTTACTAAACCCAGTTGGTTAATGATCTGGGATGCGAACCTCGGGAATGTACGGTCCGAGTTTATGCCTCTCTCTCTCGACTGTGTATTTTACAGTTGCTTCTTCAGTATTCATACGAAACAATTTATTTGTACATTTAAAACCAATGGTTTTCGTCAGGACGCGTGATATTATGTATTAATCACGTAGCTCTTCTGAAGAATGAGTTCTAGGCCGTTTTTTCAATGTTCCCGCATTTCACCTGCTGTTCATTAGACGACAAATCACTCCGCGCGGTTTGCTAGGATTGCGGGAAACGCCAATATTGCTTTCACTTTCGAGGTTTAAATCAAACGGGCGGTACCGCCATAATATGAACTGACAATCGAGGTGGGAAAGATGATGGTTGGTGTGTGGTCACACCCGTCCCGAGAATGCTGGCAGCGGGCGGCGGTGGAATTCCAGTGGTCAATTATGATTGGTCCAGATGTTTTGACTGCTCCGATTGGTCATGCTTAAGTCCAGGCGACTTAGGTTGAGAGGATTTGCAGACACTTGTACGCATTATTTAAGTCGAACTGTGCGCGGGTTGCGCATCTCCTGGAGAGCTTCCGATCTTCGCTTTCGGTATGTTTCTGAGTTAAGTCGATTTCATGGGGTTGTCTTTTTTCTGTATGTCTCTTAGCCTGATTGCATCTTGTGAGGGTTAGTATTCTAACATTACGAGAGTTATACCTCAACCCAGCTTCCGTCGTTCACCCTTGCAGCCGTGAAGAGATAAACTGCAAGTTTTGATAATGAACACAACCTGGCGTTGGGTAGATGCCCCGAATCTTTTGCTCCCGTCGAACGCTCTGTTTTTCGGAGTAGGGAACGGTAGACTGCAAAATGAATGATGACAGTAGTTTCCATTTGAGTAGCTACCAAATGAAGCATCCGCCCAGCACCAGCGTAATAATAAATTGCTGAGTCCGTTTATTTGAGCCTGTTTATCTTCCAACGTATTTAGACCCTAGATCACAGCGAGTGAGAGGTGAAACCACCGGGCTGTGACGAATTAGGAAATGATTTTTTATCAGAAACCCAAAGGGTTGACTTGTAAAGTGTTTCCTAGGAGATTGTGTTGTGCAGTTTTTAGTTGTTTAGCGGTTATCATGTGTCTTGCCTGGACATGTTATTCACCGTCGTTTTGTGTAATGTACGTGTGATCAAATCACGTCAGATCTGGGCAAACTGTCCATTCCTTACCGTGACACTATGTTTAACCACAACGCGTTTTTCATGTAAAGCGTACATCCTAAATGTGTTTGCCATATACCTCCGCCACATGTTTGAGAAAAACTATTACGTGCTGGAACTGGAAGTTGAAACAGTCTGTGATTCCCCAAGGCCAGACCCACTCAGTCCGATGCCTGGAAGTGCTTATATTTTGCTTTGTGCTGCGATCGAATCCTAGCGAGTAAGACCGACTTGAAGTGTTTTAATGTCTAGTCCGGCCGTAAGTACAATCACAACCGCAGCCCTGGCCGTAAGTGTAACTTTGACGCTCAGTTTAGACAAAGTATGCGTATGTTTTGGGCGTATGAACCAGTCCTGCCTTCCTCTCCAGTAGAATGTGTCAATTGAAGTTGACTATCGGTGCCTCGGCCGTGTTCGGATAGCCTAAAATTCTTACGCCTGACATCTGTGCTTGACATCAGCAATGGCATCATTGCCCATTTCTAGCCTGAAAAAAAACGATCACAAAAGCACCTCATAGGCCTATCTTTTGTTGTCCTCGGTAGGCCACAATTCGCAGCTTCCGCAATGTTATTACCCGTTCTAGTCAGCAGACAGACGGCTAACGCGTTTGGGGATTTAATTTCCCACTGCCCCGGCCTGAGCCATTAAAGCTCACTTCGCGCAGCCCAGTCCTCCTGCACCCCTCATTGGTCGAGAGAATGCGAGTGAAAGTCAGTAGGTCTCCGACGCGCATCGCGACCGCTGATGCTGGAGGCGCGAGCGCGTCGTAGCATGAATCATCCGGCAGCCACAGTCCGCGCTCGGACTGTTGTTCGTGCGCCCGCGCGCGCGCGCGTGAATCCGAGGCCGCCGACAGAGCTGGTCGCTGCGTCCCCTGGGTTTGGGAGCACGCGGAGGGTGCGGGGGGGGAGAGGTGGAAGCTGACGGAGGTTGGTGTCCTTCTCATCACAATTCCCGGCCTTTAGAAGGCCTGTCCTTTCTCCGCGTAGTTTCGCAGTGGAAACGGATGGCGAACGAAGGCGAAACGGCAACAACTAATTGCTTGCATTGCTTCCGCGATTCCAGACTGCAGTTTCCTCGTCTAATGTGGCACCACATGCAGTAGTTGTTCTACCACTTAGAACAGATGATCCTCAGTGCTCAAGAATGACTCAGAAGTATGCATTCGGGCATACTGAGCAAGAGCGCGAAATACTAGGAGCCCTAGAGGAACCCGACGCCGGCCTCTCCATTCGTTGCATTTACGAATTCGCTGGACCCAACGAAAGATCGTTTTTTTTTCGATGTCCGGCAGCGAGACCTATACTGAACTCTGATCTCCATCTGCCTGTGTGGGTGATATGTGTGTCCGTCGCCCTCTCTGAGCGCACTGCTGTGTCGTAGCATTAGACCATAAAATGTTGTCACATTGGCCTGGGCTGTATGTGAGCCCTTAACCTCCGCTGTAGTCGATCCGGCTTCGATTCATAAGCACCATAAGCAATCAGACGCGTCTTTACATTATCACAACACACTGGTAGTCGTGGTTTGGAGGGTTCGCAGCTGAAAGTGAAACTCAACCTTACTCAGGAACGAGGGTAACATGCAGTGGCTTCTCAGTATGATCTGTATGACGCCCACTTATGTGAGACCAACAATTTCCCCCCTTCCTTTGAAACCCAGTTTGTATGCACGTGAAGGCAGGTTTTTCAGCTTTGTGAATCAATGCGCCGACAACAGTCTTCATTTATTTCGATGGTAAGATCTGATTTCGTGGCCCCACCTGTTGAGGGTTAGGGTTAGGTTCTATGGTTAGAGGTTGGGGTTAACGTTAGGGCTAGGGGTTAGTGTTTACCCCCCTATTACCACCGGTCTCGCATGACAGGCGGATGGGACTTTTCTACGAAACAAGATCCAGCCGTTTTGACTAAAGCCGGACATCGTAACATGGCTGATATGGCAACGTGAGACCTGGTAGATGCGATGAAAGTCTGCTTCACTATAGACAAAATTGGGCGGAAGTTAGCATCATGCCTGGCTCGTGGTCCAACGGCGGTTTCGGCGCCTCAGATCGGCGAACTATCCGCCGATGCGCTGCAGCAGTCACGCGCAAACGCGCAGTTTTGTTTACGATTTGCAGGTGGTGCACAAGCAGTGACGTCGGTGCGAGGGTACATCGCAACGATTTATCGTGGCCTGAGCCTTAAATATTAACAATTACAGTTTCCAAACTGTAAATCACCAGCGGCTTCAATTGCATCCATCGATAACACCTTAATATAAACCTGGGTGTCACTCGGTCATGCTTCTGGTTTGTCAGGGTATTTCATTTACATGTTTAGGCCTGCAGTTCGGGCTGTAACCAACGTGAAAGTTTGTTTTTCAAGGAAAACTTCACTGTTTATGAAGGAATAGAAACTTTGAAGAAAGTGTATTTTTAAAACTCATGCTGTTATCTTGCTATCGCCATTTTTTTATTTTACTTCGACATAGCTTAATTAAACCAGCGAGAACCTTAATCACACACGTCCATATCAGACTGTAGATTTAGTGGGCACAATTTCATTGATGACCAAATCACATACGGAGTTGAGAGTCTCCAACTTTTCGCTCTTCTCGGTGTTTTGACTCCGCGCTTGTGTAAATTGTAATTTTTGCCAAATTGCTTTTTTGGGAAGCATGGTAAATAATCAAGCATGAAAAGAGCATTTCATCCCAATCAGAACAGTTTGCTACGATGAACCACATCATTCATCTCGCGAGCGATCATTCTAGGAGTGGTAGGGGCCACTAACAAGCAATAACTGGAAGTTGAGCTACAGAGGCAATGAAGACTGCAACGGCAGCCGTTTCAGGCTTAGTCAAGCCGTAGTCAGTCGGCCGTCCATGATCGCTTGACGGCCTTGCAGGTTTATTGTCTGTTCGCATTGCCTTCTAACCCAAAACGGAGTTGCGCGACTTCAGTCGTCTCAATGCACGCCTACCAGTGTTCTGTACTGATAACCAGTGTTTATGCTTCAGAAATGGGTCAAATCAACTTCGCTTTACAACCGACAAAGGTCAGACTCAAAACACTGAATTACAAGCTGTTAGCTCGACCTCAAATCTATGATCGGTCGAATCTTATTTCGTAGCCGTATCTGCAGTAGGCATGTCCCAGCCTAACCCCAACCCCCTTACCTTAACTCCTAACCTTTACCCCTAGCACGTACGGCTACGAAATAGGATCTGGCCCCAGGCCCTCGGGGGCCTGGAATTTGAGTGTGGCCTAGTGGAGTAACAAGTAGCAAACAACCGTCGGAGCTGCTCTGTCTTTGCCAGAAAGTTCCCTTCCAGGAAAATTTTGCCAGTCGAGACCTCCAGTCGGCTAACAGGGCAGCGATGTCGCCATGTGTCCTGTTGTCCTTCACACCGGCATGCCTCCTCCCATTCACGACGTCATTGGTTGGCGGGAGAATTCGCTCATATGACGCCCGCTTCGGCCTTATATATTCACGTGTAGATTTGGTCTGGATTTCATACCGACGACATTGTGACAGTTAACAGTGACTGCGCAACTGCCCTTGACAATGAGACTGTGTTGTTTCACCAATTAGAACGCATTCATTTGAATCGAGGCGCTAGAGGGCATTACCGGCCCCTCTGTACGGGACGAATTAGGGAGGCGCTGCATAGTCCGCATGTCTATTCGCTTATCGTCTATACTTATAAATTACGTAGACCTCGAAATTATGTCTTCATAGCCTTGGCAACATCTGTTACATCGTTTACATTATTGATGGAACTTTTCCTCCTCCTGCCCGTTGTCTTTCTTCTCACTCTTTTTTTCTCCTATTCTTCGTCATCGTCATCGTCGTCTTCTTCTCCTTCTTCTTCTTCTTTTTCTTCTCCTTACACCCCTTCTCTACGTTTCTTCCATTCTCCTCTCTCTCTCACTCTCCTCCGTCCTCCCTCTCCTTCCCCTCTTCCTCGCCAGCTAAGAGTTTGAGGCGGAATCGGTAAATATCACGACACCGCTGTCAGGAAAGATCCAATTAACTAGCGCATCAGGCAGGAACATGGTAACAACGTCATGAAATCGCAAGCAACTGGTAAAAGGAAAACGATTCTGTCAAACTCCTCCAGTAACTCACAAAGTCCGCTTCGGTTACTTTCCACTCCGCCGTTGTTCGGGCAGGCGAAGTCAATGGGAGGCTAAAAACTAACAAAGAAGAGTAGAGACACCCACCGACCGGGGGTGGAGGGGAGGCGGCGGTGTGGGGAGGGAGCACGTTCGAGACCGTAGGGTGACGTCTCCGAAAAAAACACAGGCTGTTTCAACTGCTGCATTGAAACTAAAGTATATTCGCTGTTCACTCAAGAAAACCAATTGCCGGACCAATACCGCTGACTGGACCGGCAGCTAAAAATATTTTCATCCATCGACATCGGCTTTATGCTTCTTCCGGCTGAGCACTTTCGTAGTATTTTTTTAAAAACGTCTTGCGAAGCAAAATTCTAGTCTGGTCTGTAAGTATTGTGTACTTTGGTGCATCCGCTCAGAGACACTTCACCTAACGCGCTATCCATGTTTGATTAACTATGCCAAACACCTTTCAAGTTAAACATACTCAAAGCTTCCTTATCGTTGTCTATATTTTGCAACTATTCTGGTTACGGTCCCTCTCAAAACGGACAGGAAGTCTTTGGACTAGATGAGATTCTTTTAAAAACTCCCTTTCAAAAGTGGCCGTCCACGGATCCAAAAAAAGACTCAACTCATTCCGATGTGTTTTCCTTACTAAACTACCAGCTTTCCGTGGCTCTTTTAATGGCTGCTCCTAGTACCGCTGTACACACCACCCACGGCATTCACCTCATGATTGAGGGATGGGACATGCCTCAATCGGTCTTCAGGGCTCCTCTTTTTTGTCAGTGAAAGACCGTTTTCCCTTCCAGACTGTAACCCAGGGAGGGGGAGGGCTGTGCAAAGAATCCAATGACTTTCAGAGCGTTAGATGTAGGGCAAACATCTGTCTTCCCCTTTTCCCTTTGCTTAAGAAAAACGAAACAGAACTTTCGCACGGTTTTGCGTCCTACTCACTGACTTCCTGCTCATCTTGCAGAACAAAATGCGCACTTGGATCCTCGCCATTCTCGTGGTCCTGGCCCTAGTTGTCTGCCTGGAAGCCAAAAAGGAAGAGGAGTCTCCCAACGCAGTGTACGTCGTTATTGCCACCCTGCACCTTTTTCTTCTTTTTCTTCCGTCAGCCGCTGCCAGCCAATTGTCGAGCTCGGTGCTTAAAAGACCTCAAGGTCACGCTGTAGCGGACTTCACCGATATGTTCTGATTACAGCGCGTAGTACGACTTACCGTTTTGCTTTCAAGTCCTAGCTCAAGGCACAACAACTAATATAGCCATCCTCTGACTGGCTCATGGCCAACTGGGCCCGTCAGCGAGGCAGTCTGTGGCTGGCCTATAACGAGAAATAAATAGGAAATGACTATCTCAGTGGTTCTTGCCCTGTTGCTAGGACTCCTAGCAGTGGGAGCTCAGCGAAGACTTTAGGCCCCAAAATTCAAGGTAGAGCAGAGTGTCTGTGTTCTGTCGTGCAATCAGCGGGGATTGGTAAACCTCGCCGATCACGAGAAGAGTGTGTTCGTGGTGGTTGGAGCAACGGTTGTACAGTTAGCGCCACAATAATCAGGCCAGATCTCGAGTGGCAGGAAAAGACTAAAGTCACCAGTGGCCGCTGGGCGGTCAGGGGTATATGCTGACAGTACCAGGTCATGTCTGAGAGAGACGGAGAGAAAACGAGGAGGAGAGGGAGAGAGTGAGGGAGACAGGGGGGGGGAGAAAGATAGAGGGAGGGGGGGAGCGCGAGAAGAAAAGAGGGGGAGACGGAGAGGGAGGAGAGAGGGAACGGGAGGGAGGGAGAGAGCGAGGAGAAGAGAGGGGTGGGGGGTAGAAGAGGGCGAGACTGTGATGTCAGCTGGTTTTGTATGTGTACCGGAAATAGGTCAAGGCTGTCTGGTGGTTTGGGTTGCACTACTTAAAGGGGTCATGTGCTAAAGTGGTGCATGTTGCATTTATTGAGAGGTGGCTGCCCGGATGCTCGTGTGTCAAAGATGAAATCACTTAAATGGTAGTAGGTCAGCCTGTCTGGTTTAAGTTGAAGCTGTTTCGCAGCAGCAGCAGCAGCATTTGTGAGGGAAGTGAGGGAACTAAACGCCGAAACAAATACGATGACCGGTTCAACTATGCCGCTCAACCAAAATTCCCAGGGGATAAGAATGCACTCAGTATGTGTTCAATGCCTGGAGCACGCACTAAGCTTTACGTCTTATAAAACTAGCTACTCATGTTCTTTCGAAAAGAAGTACTACACTTTCCCGAACTCTGAGAGAAAGCCATTTTAGTTTGTTTTACGCGTGACTTTATTTTAACCTGATTTTTATGGATTCCGTTTACTGAAAGCGGCAGACGAAGCGTTTTCAGAGACCCAGAAAGCTGCAGGTGTTGTTATTTTAGGGACGGAACGTTTTCGAGCCCTAAAACATGTTCGCACGAGCTTATCGTCAACGATGAATTAAAGGTCCAACTCCATGGATATATAACTCCCCGTCCTTGGAACAAATTTCGGCCACACAGAGCTTTGTAGTTAGTTTTCCGACCACTAGGCATACTAGCTGCGTCATTGGTCGAATGCCACTGATGTCTGGCCATCTGGTTCGTTCTAGATCTGAAGTATGCACTGTGCAGGGCGGATAAGTTGTCATCACGAAAAATTGATACCTTAGCCAGTCCGTTTTTCTCTGGTCGTACTTATCGGTCTCACCAACATAGTTAACTTAGTTACTGATAATTTAGGTCGCACAAATTACTTCCGACTTCCGGCTGGTGCATAGCCGCTCTTTTGACTTTGCTAGCCATTGGAAGACTGCGGATTTGATTTATCACTGACGGTGGACCCGTACGATTTCCGAGTGTCTGTGTGGGAGAGACGGGTGACTGAAATATTGTTCTAAAGTCCCGTCCTCTCGTTGTTAACTTTAATTACAGACGGTGGCCGATGTCATGAAATGTTAGACGAAGTGGTGAAATATCTTTTCGATTAGGAAGAATTTATTTAAGTAGGATTAAGTAATTGATGATCCTGGGGACTAACCTCATGGTATTTCAGACACAAAAAGATTTTGACTTCCGAATAGTTTCTTTTTGTCGTACACAAAAACCATTCCTGGTAAAAAACGACCATTTAAGCAATATGCGTTTTCCATTGGTTTTCTATATCATTCAACACTTTAGCATATTTCTAATGAGAAATATGGAAATTTATTTTTCTTGGGTTAATTCGATGAAAAATATTGTTCTACACAGATATTTTACTCAAGCAGGGTGCATCTTTTACTCCCAAACGTTTTTAAGCAAGAGATCTTAGAACCGAGAAATTCCCATTTAAATAGCATTGTGTCATTCCGCTCACTAATGCTCCCCGCAAATTAGTAAACATAGTCCACATTCATTGCGAAATTTTGTGAGCCCTAAATAATATCTTTCTAATCGCATAGAGGAATTTGTGATTTTCTTCACAGGCAGCGTATGTGGACTTGAAGACCCTAAACGAAAGTGTAACGGGAGGCCGAGCTCAAAACTAATCGGAAGTTGGATAGCTTTTTTAAAACCCTAAGAAACCCTCTGTTCAAATAAAACATTTGAATAAGTATTATCTATCAAAAAAGTAAATGCAAAAAAGAACATTATTCACGTTTTCTATAAAATATAGTTGAATTTACAAGAACATGAAAAACCAATAAAAATACACTTCACCTGCATAGTCGTTTTTACCGAGTGCAATTTGTGCAGAGGACCTAAAAGGTGTTATTGAGAAGCCGACATCAGGGCGTTGATCCCAGCCGTACCAAATGCGTGTATGAAATGTCATGGAATTATCTTGCATGATAGTCATTAGTTTAACCCCACTCGCGTAACGCCTTCCAATAAAAAAAAACATCTCACAATTTCAGTCGTTCACTGACTGTTATTTAACTACGCGTTTATAGCAAGTGAAGAAGATTTTGGCTTAACCTCCCTTCCCCCTCCCCACCGACGTTTAGAACTTGCATGGAGCGTCTTTTTGTTATTAACTGGGGAACGCTCTCCTTCGGTGTCAACTGGGTCTAAAAAAGTGTAATTAGGATTGTGCTTGAATCATTCAGCCTTGTCCCAATGCACAAATGTATCATCAATGTACAGGATCGAAGACTTTTCTTTGTAGAAGGGGGAAGACACATGCTTCGAGCTTTCCCAGCACAGGGTCGGCGGCCTTATCGGAGATCAGGAAACTCGTTACAGGACTTTCTCCTGATCCTTTCGCATTTGGCTTTCAGAAGTTCACTGACTGTTGTTCTAGTCAAGGATTTGTGGTTGTAAGTTCGGAGGAATTCAGTGACGAGCAACCGCGTTTACCTGCACACTGTCATAGCTTTGGAGTATATTTCAGAGTTTAGAGGTAAAACTGAGGAAATCCTAAGTGTTACCTCTGACAAAATGATTACAGCAGTGAGTAGTGATCATAGTTCAGCCCACGTCACACGATGTGGTGATAATGCACTCATTCCTTGACTGGGAGAAATGTCTCTCCGAAGAGGAAGTTCGACCGTAAGTACGGAAATTGCTCCGCATGCAACCAAACGGTCCTTTTACTGGTACCTCACACATAGCTGGAACGCTCGCAAGGGTTTAATGAACGCATTATATAAAAAGACTCAAACTTAGGTGGGATATCTTCAGTCACTTTTAGCATGATCCAGTTTCCCTTAACCTTTCGATGACGCTTCCACTTTGCATTTCCTTCCCACCCTTTTGCTTTCAGCGCTGCGGTCGATACGAAAGATATCAAAGTTCCCAAACGAAGGCGTCATAAGAAGAAACGTGATTCACTGCGTCGTGGAAACGGCAACGGACACAAGCGTGGTAAGGAAACTCCGTGAATAACTTTTCTTTTCCAACTAGTAAAATCGTGTGAGGAAGTCGAACTAGGCTGTATTTTTTCCACAATTTTCCAATAAGCCTCAAGGTCTGAACTTGCAGTTCATTCAGTTTCTCACTCACCGTGGAGGCTTCGTTGGGGTTTGACTTAAGAGTCTCAATGAAGAAACGGGTATTCTCAGAGCACGACACAAGAAAAATACTTTGGGTTAAACACGCGAAGCCGAAGAATTGACATTCCGGCTTTACGGTCGAGGCGGGTGCTGTGATCTCTGACACTCGCCATTAAATCAGGCCAGAGCGAATTTTTACTCAGACATTCCATTCTGAGCTTATTCCTCAAAGTGTATAAGGGCACCGATCAGAGGTACTAAGGCCGCGCTCAGAGACGTATGGTTATCCATTCTGCTGTTTCTTTTAGGACGATAATTAGATTGCGATCGTACCCTGCTTCAAAACTGCTCGTATTCACTCATCTGAGTTTGGTTGTCACTATAAGCTAGAAAGGCCTTACTTACAGCTCAGATCTCGACCCCTGAACACGCTTAAGAGATTTTTTTCTATTATTCACCAAGTAGTTTTTGACTGTGGCATTATTAGTAATAGTAACTTTTCACATTCGCAATGCCCATGTCTGAGTTTGCGCGATGTTGTTAACGCAAAACGCCATGTTGTT